GGGTTTTTAAAGAAAATAGCGATTTTTTATAAAGTTTGACCAAAGGTTTTCGGGGTCGAGGAATCCGAATCTGTAATCAGTTTCTAAAAATTTTGAATTAGAATTTTGCATCGAAGAAAGGGTTTTTTAAGAAAATAACGGTTTTTTATAAAGTTTGACCAAAGGTTTTCGGGATCAAGGAATCCGAATCTGCAATCAGTTTCTAAAAATTTTGAACTTGATTTTTTTACTAAACAAACGGTTTTTAAAGAAAATAATGATTTTTTATACAGTTTGACCACAAGTTTTCGGGGTCTAGGAATCCGAATCCGCAATCAGTTTCTAAAAATTTTGAACTTGATTTTTTTATCAAAGAAAGGGTTTTTTAAGAAAATAACGATTTTTTATAAAGCTTGACCAAAGGTTTTCGGGGTCGAAGAATCCGAATCTGTAATCAGTTTCTACAAACTCTGAACTAGAATTTTTCATCAAAAAAAGGGTTTTTAAGAAAATAACGATCTTTTATAAAGTTTGATCGAATGATTTTGGGGCTCAGGAATCCGAATCTGTAATCAGTTTCTGAAATCAGACTCAAAACTTCCAAAAGCTGATCACAAGTACAAATTCCTCGATCCCAAAAAATTTTCGTCAAGCTTTATAAAAAATTGTTATTTTCTAAAACACCTTTTATTTAGCAAAAAACGTCAAGCTCAAAATTTTCAAAACTGATTACAGATTCGAATTCCCGACCTCGAATACTATCGGTTAAACTTTACAAAGAAATGGTTATTTTCGCATGATAGCTTTCCCTTGACAAAGGAACCAAATGCAGCCATTTTCCGTTTTCCAGTGATAAAGTAACTGTCTGTTCAACGGTAACTTCGCACCTGTAATCTGTTCGAATTCCGGCTAATTCAAATTTCAATCCTTTGAAGTTCTATTTGAACTGACCAAGGCCGATTCCAAGTCAGCAATCGAAGTTGGAGTTAGTACGTCTCTATCTGCTAGGATCCATCAGCGGTTTTCTCAAACTGGAGAAATTGATCGGCTCACTGCGGTATGCCTTAAAATAAGACAATAAGCGCATGAAGTATACAGTGAAGACTGCTCTTTCCATACAGCTCGCATTTGCTCGGGTAAGCACACCTGAAATGGTAAAAACTTCTTAGGAACATTTGGTAATGCATTTTCAAGTATCACGGGTAAAATCGGTTTAACCAGTGAACATGTGAAGAACCTAGGGTGGCGGCCCGTTTTTGATGTTATGCAGCTGTCTCTATGCTAGTAGAAGGCGGTAGTGCTTCTCCACCGATCATCACCGTAGATTCCCAACTTCAGAAATCTACGGTGATGACTGGTTTTTGGTATTCTCGAGATTCCTCTATGCTTCTAGAAGTCAGTAGCGCCACCCCACCAGTCATCACGGTAGGTTTTCGATGCAGAAACCTGGAGTGATGACCGGCTTTGGCGTTCTTCAGCTGTCTCTATACTTGCAGAAGCCAGTAGTACCTCTGCTAGCATAGAGACAGCTGAATAACACCAAAAACCGATCATCACCGTAAGTTTCTGCATCGAACATTTACGGTGATGACCGGTAGAGAGGCACTACTGGCTTCTACAAGTATAGAGAAATCTGAAGAACGTCAAAAACCGGTCAGCATGGTAGGCTTTTTCATCGAGAACCTACAGTGCTCACCGGTGGAGAGACACTGCTGGCTTCTACTAGCATAGAGACAGCTAAAGAACGTCAAAAACCGTTCATCGCCGTAGGTTTCCGATGAAAGAATCTACGGTGATGAGAGTCTATGGTTTTTTTTTATTTCAAATTGAATTTTGAATAAAAAATAACACCCCGTTTTTACTAAGGCAGAGGGGCTAAGGGGACTAAGGAGGCTAACGGGATTAAGGGTGTGGGTGTAGATCTGTATTGCATAGACACCCACACCCACACTTTCTCTCTCCCTCCTGCCACCCACACTTTCTCTCTCCCTCCCCCCACCCACACTTTCTCTCTCCCTCCTGCCACCCACACTTTCTCTCTCCCTCCCCCCACCCACACTTTCTCTCCCCCTCACCCACACTTTCTCTCTCTCCCCTC